AACATTTACGTTGCGTCTCGTCTTAACGTAATCATACGTTTCATAACAAAACACACAGCGTCTCCACAAACTTTACAGATCTTCTTTATGCACCAAGAGCTTGTAACACTCCAAAGAGAGTGAAATTGCATTATATGACCCCTTTAAATCAGTCCATAGAAATGTCAAACCCCCAGAAGGGTTAGTTCACCCCAAAATGAAAATTCTGTCATTAATTACTCAACCTCATGCTGTTCCAAAGCTGTAAGACCTTCGTTCATCTTCGAAACACAAATTAAGATGTTTTTGATGAAATCTGAGCGCTTTCTGACTCTCCGTAGAGAGCAATGCATCTTAAACATCATTTGACAACTATTTGCTTCTTTTTCGAAGATGTGAGCTCCAGGGAGTCAGGGGCCGTACAACACACATGAACAGAGCAAATAGTTTTGGCTAAGGGCAAAGTCTTATGTTTTATTTTATATAACTTTAATGCTGTATATCAGAGCGCTGCCTTTGTACTTTTGACTAAATTGCCTAGCAACTTTTATGATGGCTGTTGTTGATTAAATAATATTATTCAATAAATAATATAAATGATAATAGTATTTAATATTAGTATTTAGTATTGAGAAACGGTGTGTGGGTGTTCGTGATGTTGATTTTAGTTACGTTGTTCATTGATGGTGTCAAGAGACACCTTTTTTTTTTGAGTGTGTCAGCAGTAGGGCTGCCCTCGACTAAAGATTTTTCTGGTCGACTAGTTGTCGTTCATTTTAAGCATTAGTTGACTAATCGCAAATTTATTAATAAACCATTTAAATCAGTGGTGGCCAACTAGGGCTGGGCGATATAGCTGAAAAATTTATCAACTATACCGATAAGGTATCGATAATTATTTACATTTATTTATAACCTTTTTTAAAACAGAGCAATAGAAAAAAACTTTTACATTTAACCACTGTATTTTTAAATTAACCCAATTTATTGAGACAAACAACAAATATTTTTTGTTTTAACAGTCAAACACAAAATAAAAATTAAACAAATATCTCATTTCTAATGTTTTATATGCAGATTAAATAGGTCTGAAGGAAACTTTTGGCTTGTCTCCCGAAGCCACAGGAGGGCGCAATGAGCAAAATAATGCAGCACATTAAATTGCCAACGCAAAGGAAATAACTGTCTATAAAAAAAACGTGCATTATGTCTAAATTAACTCATATAAATCAAACATAATTTCATAAATTGCATAAACAATTATGAACAAAACAGCATCATGTATTTATGGATTGCTAAATCCAAAGAGCCGAATCGCCCTTCACGCAGATTGCATTTAAAAACATAAGAGACGCAGTGAAAAGGAATAAATCTCCACAAATTCGTGACGTGTTTTCTACAATTGTAAACTGTTTTAACTTTGCATGGCTTTCTATACATCTCTTGTGTGAGACGTGAGAGCAGCAGTCATATTTGTCCGTCTAAAAAATGCGCTGAATATGCGTTCTGTGTGAATGGCTTGGTTTCGGTTTTAACCTAATCAAGATCTTCTACGCATTGAGCTACTATATTTCTCTAATATTTTTAATGAATAACGCAGCAACTGCGTGTCTTGTGGGCTAGACTTATAAAATATTAAAATGCAACAACGTCACTTACATCATCACCACCGCATCTCGCGCTCTTTTTTTTCACAATCTCCTCATCACAGGCAGGCACAGCACTCAATTCAGCATGTGTTCGTGTTTGTGTGTGCGGCCTGCGTCACTTATAGCACGTGCCTATATTGAAAAATTTTTCTATCGTTATCGAAGAGGGTGTACCGTCGTTAAATATCGATACCGTTTTATCGCCCAGGCCTATGCCCAACCCTGTTCCTGGAGATCTACCTACCTGCAGAGTTCAGTTACAACCCTGCTTCAGCACACCTGCCTGTAATTATCAAGTGCTCCTGAAGATCTTAATTAGCTGGTAAAGCCGTGTTTGATCTGGTTTGGAGCTGAACTTTGCAGGAAGGTAGATCTCCAGGAACAGGGTTGGGCACCACTGATTTAAATCATTGACGCACACCTAACATTTGATTGTACTATTTTTGCGTTCAAATGCAAATGTTTATTTTAAATTCGACTAATATTAATTTTTTTTCACAATCTCCTCATCACAGGCAGGCACAGCACTCAATTCAGCATGTGTTCGTGTTTGTGTGTGCGGCCTGCGTCACTTATAGCACGTGCCTATATTGAAAAATGTTTCTATCGTTATCGAAGAGGGTGTACCGTCGTTAAATATCGATACCGTTTTATCGCCCAGGCCTATGCCCAACCCTGTTCCTGGAGATCTACCTACCTGCAGAGTTCAGTTACAACCCTGCTTCAGCACACCTGCCTGTAATTATCAAGTGCTCCTGAAGATCTTAATTAGCTGGTAAAGCCGTGTTTGATCTGGTTTGGAGCTGAACTTTGCAGGAAGGTAGATCTCCAGGAACAGGGTTGGGCACCACTGATTTAAATCATTATAATGAGCCTTTAATTGCCTGCATAGCCTAATAAGCACTCAAGCACGTGCATAAAGCTTGACACAGCGCACCGCAGAAGCTAAGGATTATGAATGTGTCAGGGAAAAACAGTAAGGAAGGCTGCATTTACATTTTAATAATGTATTGATACACTAGTGCTTTTTTTGTTTTCAGCTTCAGAGATGAAGTCGGTGACACTGACTCATCATCTCCGCAGTAGTGGATGTTTCACACGGATTACATAATCTGAGAATATTTGTTTTCTATTTGAATTGGTTCATTTGAAAGTAGACATTTCGCTCTATGGATGTTTTTTCATGTCTGTAAGGCAAGTATACACAGAGTTTTAGAGTTTCTCCCTCAAGTTTACAGAGACTGAGACGGCAAAAAGCGCATCCTGTTTTCTTTCATTATTTTATGAAAGCGCAATGTTTTGTTGTTATTGTGAGTGCACACAAATAAACGTAGAGTCTTTACAGATTCGAAAAATATATTACTCTTATCTGTATGACTGAAAATGAGGGAGTATTTTAAGAGCAAGTGATCGCACCGGTGCCTCTGTCATGCAGTGAGTGCGCTACTGTTCAGGTTCCACACTTCGCACAGACACTTGAACAGCACACATTTTTCTAGGTTACTTCGCTTGTAGATTTTTTTTTTCCTGCGATTGCAGATGATCGGTGATCCGTACGGATTCAAACACGGCGTCTGAATCGAGCCTCCCTCTCTGCGTGTGCACGCTGCGAGTGTGTGCGGCAACGGCTGAGCGCAAAGAAAACGGCACACAGATACATACACACAAAGTTATGTTAAAATACCTGTTTTGGCAAGTATTCTGGTAAACACAGTGGGTTATGTCTTAAGTGAACTAAACAGCTGAGAAAGAAACCGGAAAAGAAAACTATATGTCAGTATTAGGTCCGTGCATTTGGTCTTAAAGAAAGCAGCCTATAAACACCTGCTTCTCTCTGCTAATCAAACAACACAGCTTTAACCCTCATGTGGTGTTCGGGTCCTTTTTGCTCTGAAAAAATTTTCTTTTTCCCGAAAATACTAGTTAATGTTATCGCATTGGACTGAAATTGTGTGACTTTGTTCACAAAGGGTATAACTACTTCTAAATTTTTTTTTGATCATTTTCATACCTTTCTGGGGGAGATTTTTCACCTTGTTACACCCGTGATGTTACAGAGCAAAAAGGACCCGGCCTCAAAAAATGCTTATAAATCACTCATTATGCTATATTATCAACAAAGATTGGATTCAATCTTTTTGTCAACTTCTTATCTTTCATTTAGGACTGGTTTTGTATTTATATTTGCTTCTGATTAATCGTAGGCCTCATTTATCTGAGAGTAGGCACCTCATTTTTTGAGTGAAAAAAGCATTATTTATGAATAATTTTCACAATATTAAATAAAAACTGATGAAAATTTGCACTGTTTATCGCACTAGTGTACTTTAATGTTTAATCAGGGAGTTTGCTTTTAAATGCTTTTATTTTGTACAAAATGACACAAAGTCACACTTGTGGTGTTCCCAGGCAAAAATCACCTGGCCTCAAAAAATTGCTTATAAATCACTCATTAGGTTATATTATCACCAAAGATTGGATTCAATCTTTTTGTCAACTTCTTTTCTTTCATTTAGGACTGGTTTTGTATTTATATTTGCATCTATTTAATCGTAGGCCTCATTTATCTGAAAGTAGGCACCTCATTTTTTGAGTGAAAAAAGCATTATTTATGAATAATTTTCACAATATTAAATAAAAACTGAAGAAAATTTGCACTGTTTATCAAAATTTCTTCAGTTTTTATTTAATATTGTGAAAATTATTCATAAATAATGCTTTTTTCACTCAAAAAATGAGGTGCCTAGTCTCCGATAAATGAGGCCTACGATTAATCAGATGCAAATATAAATACAAAACCAGTCCTAAATGAAAGAAAAGAAGTTGACAAAAAGATTGAATCCAATATTTGGTGATAATATAGCATAATGAGTGATTTATAAGCAATTTTGAGGCCGGGTCCTTTTTGCTCTGTAACATCGTAAGTGTGATAGGGTTCTGAACACAACACAAGGGTTTTAACAATGATTAATCTGTATTTAACTTATGCAATGAGCATTATTGTGTTGTTTTACACTTAATTATTACGTTTCTGCACCTCAATAGTACTGTTACTGACTTCATTTGTAACTGTTGTATTCATCAGTGCTTGTTTTTTTTTTTTAAAACACTTATGCCATCAAACTCTTGTATAAAGGCAATATCACACTCATAGCATATATGCTGGGCTCAACAATAAGGAGGGAAAGACACTCTGGACAGTTGACGAAGGAAGATGTCATTAGCCAAATCAGGCAGTTGAATTGCATAAATTCACAATTTTTAAGTCTAAGGAAATCACAAATAAAGGGTCTTTTTTTTAAATTATGTAATTATTATTTACTTTTTTTTAGCTTAACCCATTCATTTGTATTATATTAAAGTGCAACCAGGATGTTCTCCAGAATGTCTCCATTTGTGTTCTATGAGCAAAGTCATGGGTTTGGAAATGACAGATTTACCTTAAGGTATCTTACTTGATGACTTGATTTGTGTCACAGGAATCAGCATTAACCGTGGACTACTGTCTCTGGGGAATGTGATCAGTGCACTTGGTGATGAAAGCAAGAAGGGGACCTTTGTGCCATACAGGGATTCCAAACTGACACGCCTCTTACAGGGTAAGATTCATTTAGTCCATAAAGTCAGGTGTTTATCAATTCACTCTATTTTCAATACACCATATAGCAGTGAGTGAGCACCATTACAGAATTTAAGTCATGCTGTTGCTAGCATATGTGTTAATATGCTACTATCATTCTACAACATGCTAACAATTGCTAGCAACATGTTAAAACATCTGACATTGATTCTGACCTTCAAACTTAAAATTATTAAAACTGTCATTTTGTTTTTAACCTTTTAAATCATGTTGTTGCAATATTTGTTTTGTAAAGCTGCTTTGTGCAGTGTAAAATGCTGAAGGTTGGAGTAGGAATGTGTTGTTTGTTTTCAGTTTAGCAGCAATGGTGAAATTGATAAACTTCCTTTTCTAGTTTAGGTTTTCTTCCTGATAAGGTGGTATGTGTGTTTCTTTGTTTATTTAGTAATTACTTAATTTATTTTTGGTCATGAAATTCTTTACAAACCATCTTTCCAGACTCTCTCGGAGGAAACAGCCACACCTTGATGATTGCATGTGTTAGTCCAGCAGACTCCAACATAGAGGAGACCATCAATACGTTGCGCTATGCTGACCGTGCCCGTAAAATTAAGAATAAGCCCATTCTCAATGTTGACCCACGTGCAGTAGAAATGAAGCGACTCAAACAGCAGGTACTAAGTCTATTTGGTGATTTGGGGTTATTGGGTGTTTTTCAAACAACTGTTACATGACTGGTTATCTAAAATCAAGTAGAATGCTGAGGTAATATTTGTGACCCTGGACAACAAAACCAGTCATAAGGGTCAATTTTTTGAATAAATAAGCTTTCCATTGATGTATGGCTTGTTAGGATAGGACAATATTTGGCCAAGATACAATTTTTTGGAATCTGAGGGTGCAAAAAAATCCAAATACTGAGAAAATCGCCTTTAAAGATGTCCAAATGAAGTTCTTAGCAATGCATATTACTAATCAAAAATTAAGTTTTGATATATTTACGGTAGGAAATTTACAAAATATCTTCATGGAACATGATCTTTACTTAATATCCTAATGATTTTTGGCATAAAAGAAAAATCGATAATTTTAACCCATACAATGTTTTTTTTGGCTATTGCTAAAAGTATACCCAAGCGACTTAAGACTGGTTTTGTTAAGACTGGTCACATTTGGGTGATTTAATTTCTGTGTTTTTTTTTTTTTTTTTAATAACACAGGTTCAAGAGCTTCAGGTGATGCTCCTGCATGCCCGTGGAGGTGTTGCACCTGTGCTGACAGGGTATGTCCTTTTCTTTTAAGATTTTTCATTTTTATTTGGGGGTGGGATATACAGTGGGGTAAATATTTATTTGATCCCCTGCTGATTTTGTAAGTTTGCCCACTTACAAAGAAATGAACGGTCAGTAATTTTTTATGGTTGGTTTATTTTAACAGATAGAGACAGAATATCAACCAAAAAATCCAGAAAAAAACATCATATAAAGGTTAGAAATTGATTTCCATTTCAGTGAGTGAAATAAGTATTTGATCCCCTACCAACCAGCAAGAATTCTGGCTCCCACGGATTGGTTATGTGCCCATGTGGAACACAGATTAGTCCTGTCACTTTAAGAAGTTACTCCTAATCTCAGCTCATTAGGTGTATAAGACTCCTGTCCGCACAATCTGTATCTTCCATTCCAACCTCTCCCACCACCATGGGCAAGACCAAAGAGATGTCAAAGGGTGTCACGCCTGTTTCACACATACTCCGTCTGCAGTGGGTATGCGGTCCGTGTACGTTACGTATGTGGTGCAGAAGCAGCACAGACTCATTGTGCTTTCACACAGGACGCGTTTGCAGTCCGCTCCTGATCCGCGGCTGTTTACCACAAACACAACATTTATCCATTATTTTGATTTCAAATCCAAACGTAGTTAGCCTATACTGAAAATGCTTTTTCAGCATTGTGATCCTCTTTTATCACAGTACAGTTACACAATCTTTCAGACATATTCACGTTTAAACTCAATAAATATAACTGTTTAACTACCACCACGAGTGCCATCTACTATTGCCTTGTTTATCTAAAAGTGCACTTTTCCTTGTTTTAAATCTAGCCAAAAAGCCATGTGTTG